TGCGATTCCTGGGCGACTCATACAATGGCGGGCCTCCACCATAAGCAACTGATGGAGGGGGCACGGGCGCCTCTTCACGGGTTCGAGGCAGCGGCGGCTGCTGGTGTGGCTCGCGACGGTCCATATTCAGTATGGGTATCCTACCACGGTCGGGAGAGTCGTACGCCGGCCCGTGGGGCGGCATCGGGGGAGGAATACCGTGTTGATGGGACGGGTGATGCTGGGGATGCGCCGGGGGCGGCCGCTCGGCCGGAGGTGGACCGTACGTCGAGTGTCCGTTGTAGTGTGCGCCCGAGACTGGCGGATACTCCCGGTGTCCAGGATGGGCAGTCGGGTCATACGGCACCGGTCGTGAGGGCTCATATCCCGGTCTCGCCCAGTGCGGCGGCTGTTCTCTGGGGTCTGGGGGACGGCCATATGCAGGAGCCCTTTGATCTAGCGTCCTCGCGTAATCCGACAGGGAATGCTGTCTCGAGGGGTCGCTTCCTGATATTGTCCTCTCGCGGCGTTCCCTTTCGCGGGCCTCCATCTCGCGATCCTGCCGCTCCCTCTCTTGCCGCTCCCTGTCCATCATGTACGCGTCTTCGTACTTCACCCGGATGGGCCCCTCTGGGTTGTACTCCTCCCTGTGCCGGGGCATTTCTTCCCTACGAGTATTGTACATCTCCGGCGGTGGGGGCCTGTTCATCTCCATCGGCCTTGGAGGGCCAACGTTCGGAAACGTCTTGGGCTGGCTACTCGGTCGGGGCGGCATCGCATTTCCCATACGCGCTTGTTCCCTCGCTTGCTCGGCAGCGGTCATCGGAGGCCCTCCTTGCGGATAGCCCTGCGGTGTCCCATATCGCTGGACCTCATGCGGTTGGTAGGCACCCGACGGCGAGGCCGCCGTGTTGACCCTTGGATCGCGAGCATCGTAGAGCCTACTGCGTTCTGGCGTCCGTGGTCGTCGGTAAGGGGGATAGTCTGGTGGGGCCGCTGAGTGCATCCGAGGAGAGGCATGTATAGGCTGGTTGTACGAAGGCCCGGAAACGTTGGACGGCGGCGCGGGAGGATACTGAGCCGGAGGGGGTGGAGGTTCCCTTGCCGGGGGAGGGCCGCCGAGCATCGACGAAATCGACATGGTGCTACCTGATGATCCCGTTCTCGGCAGCGAATCGAGGGCAGGCAGTTCGCGTCCTCCTCGGGGGAAGGCCGATGGCGGCCCAACCGAGACGGGCGGGGGCCTCGGCTGTGGTAGGCCGTATGGCCCGCCCAGCTGGTGCGTGGCTGGTCCTGGGCCTTGTTGAGAGTGCTGCTGCGGTGGCGACGAGGGTGGCGGCATTCCGCGATTCATTGGCGGCCCCGATGTTATAGAGGAAGCGCTCTGGTGTCTCGAGTGTGTCGAAGGTGGCATGGATCCGGGCTCGGCAGGATACGGTCGAGACTGAGGATAGTAAGGTGCCGGGTCCGACGGCTTTCGCGCGTGGTGATCCGAGTAGTGCGGAGGACCGTTGGGCGGGGCATGCGGCGCGGCGTTCGAGTACGGCTGCTGCGAGGACGGTTGGGTCGGTGGGAAACTCGGGCGGCCAAAGGGCGAGGCAGCGTTCCGCGAAAACGGAAGCTGAGGCGGTGGTTGCTGTCTGGGATCCATCGCGTTCGAAACCGAGACGAGGATTGCCGAGTTTTCTGCGCCTCGAGACTCGACCCCGTCGGAGAAGGCCGCCTTCGGGCGCTCGACGACAAAGCGGCAGCGGGCCTGGTCGTCGGTGTCACGGGCGGGTTGGGAGCGCAGTCGGGCGCGGGATCGATGGTGTTGTTGGGGAATAAATTTTGCGTTGACCTCTTTTTGCTCTGGACTGGGTTTGTCTGGGGATGGCGCTGCGTGACCACCCGACGTGCAGCCTTAGCTCCTCACTTTCTGCACCTCCCTGCCCAGCTTCGGTGGCCCGAGCTGGCCACACAGCGGTCCGTTCTGATTGGCAGCACGCGCGAGCGGAGCGGGATGTTCACCTCGACGGATCCCTGAATGGCTGCTGGCTTGGCACCAACACGTCTCGTTTGTTTGAAAGCTGGAACTGCGTTATCAGCGAGATGCCGCCATCGATAAGACATTTTTAGCAGGAGACATTACATTTACTTCCCCTTTGCATCGAATTACCTCAGATAGACACACCATGGAAGGCCACCCTCGAGCGCGTCGGACCAGATCAAGGACCGGCCGCACAATGATTCAAGTGCAGAAAGAGCCGACGGACAGGGATGGGGGGCTGGCGTTAGCGGAGTTTAGGAGGCCGGGAGTGCCCTGATGACGGGATGGCTGGCCGAAGATGGCTGGCTGGCTGATGATTGCAACAGCTTGTGCGACCGCTTCTTTTTGATCCCGTTTCCCATGGGCGGATGTGGATGCTCGCATTCCATTTAAATTAGCACCCCGACAAGACAACAACAGCAACACAGCAACGACGACATCTGCCTTGGCCAAAATACGACAGACGAACCAACATCTGCGCCATGCAGCGCTCCCGCACAAACCGGGCAATCATGGCTGCGACTGGGTGGACCGACGGGCACAAATGCAAGCAGAAGTGCACAAGCAGGCGCGTCATCAGCGGTGCGAAGCTGGGATGGAGAAAGCTAGCGATGCACGACGGCGACAAAATGAGGGGTTTGGGAGGCCAACAAGCAGCTTTTTGCTTGTGATGCCGACCGACTCTGACGACTCGGCCTTGGCACTTCTCTAGGCATTCCACGCTGACTCTTATTACAACTACCAGTACTCCGTACAAAAATATACACGATTTGCTCATCACAAGGTCATCGCCCACGAGACAACCAAACTCAACGACAGCCACGCCGGCGTCGGCCGCCACGATCCGCTCCCAAGACCAACACCGCCGACGTTCGTCTTGCCGTTGCCCGCCGCCGCCCTGACGCAAGCAAGATGCGAGACGGTATCGCCCCCAGGCCCTCCCAGCGCCGACACGGAAGAGCCGCTATACCTCCACGACAGCACGACCGGGAAGACCCACGTGCTCACCTCGTTGAGAGCCGTCGAGTTGCCCTTGTCGAGCGGCAGCGTCGCAGCCGCGAAGAACGGGCCGTCCGCGATCAAGCCTCCGATAGCTATCCGTCGCATCTTATCAGCAAGGCGCCCCGATCGATGTTGTGTCACTGTCCAACAAAAACAAGAGATGAAACCTACTCTGTGGAAGATTCGACGCGCTCGTGACCCCGTCGGTGCCATTCGCCAGCAGCGTCGCACAGCTCAGCGGCATCGTCTGATTCTGGCAGAACCCCGCCGAGTTGAAGCCCGCCTCCATCTCGGCGATACAGTCTGGGGACAGGAGCCCGCTGCACGAGCCGGACGCATCCGAGGTCGCCGCCGCGCCCGACAGCGCCGCGCTCGACAGGCCCATAGCCCAGATGGCCGAGCAGACCGACCAGCTGTCGGTATTTGGGTTGCTACCGAGGTTGTTGGCAATCTTGGCGGGCGGTGTGAGCGACAGAACCGCCGTGTCAAACACCTTGGAGCCGCCTTGGCTGTCGGGGCTGTTGCTCGGGATGGCGACGTCACCGGTCACGCCGACCACCAGCCGCCACCCGTCGAGGCTGAAGTCCTGTGTTGCTGCTGTGCCATTGTTACCCGGGGCGGCGGTGATGTCGAAGCCCGGGACGGCGACCGACTGGACGGCGTTGGTTTTTGAGGTGGCCTTGCGGAAGTCGTCTGGTGAGTAGCCGTAGGGGTATGTGTCGCCGATGAGGTACTGCTGCTGCGCGAAGGGGGTGGCCAGCGCCGCCCCGCACGCCAACGAGACTAACAGTCCAAGTCTACCGTGAACCACCATGGTGTGTAGTGACAAAACTCAAAAGTCCGGTTCTCCCTCCGGTGTGCTGTGTGTGTAAGTCGTGTTTAACGTAGAGTGGAGCAGATCAGATCCCGCTCCCGTCGGTAAAATGTCTTGGCGGAGCATTTGTAAATCCTCAGGGAAGACAAGAGACGACGGGACGAATCTCATATTTAGTAGTTCACGCGTTGCAACAAAATCCTTGTCTTACTTCGTTTTGTGATGCAAAGGTTTGGGAAAGTGTGCGCGGTGTTCCAAAACCTGGATGACACAGATGATCGATCCAAGGTGCATGTGGTGGTGGTGGCCCGGGTCCCGGGCCGGGGGTCGGATTCGGAGTGGTTAGAAGAAGGTTTGCATGAGCCGCGCTATGGTCCCGTCGGTCCTTGTTCGATATGAAAGTCAGCCGCACTGGGACGCAAAGATCCGGGAAGTTGGGCTCCTGTTTGGTGGTGGTCTCTGGAAATGGGCCGGGGGATCGACGGCACATCTCTCTGAAACGGTTTGCTCTGAGCTGGGTTGGTATCCCCGGGCAGATGCCGTGGATCCGTATTCCTCACGCTCTCATTAACTTTAAACTTGGAGCCGAGTTAGCCGCGGTCGACGTGTGTATTCATGGATAGTTAATAAGAATTCCATCGATTATAGAGAGGGTACATAGGCAAGGTATCTATCCAGAAATACGGAGAGCTTGGCGTTTGCTACCAAACTAAGTAGACTTACATCACAAAATGCAGTTCCATGATCATATCGCCCTACGATCGGTCACCCAAGGCGTCAACATGTACATGGAACTTCAAGGAACTTGAGGATTCCTCAAGCTGTGTGGTTATTTGCGACGTCCCCCTGCTGACATGTATTCCGCCATTCCCATCAATAACCTCCAAATCCCCTGGCCAAAACGCCCCGTATCCGCCTCACCATATAAACGCACTAATTCATAGTTAATAACTCCAATAACCACTAACCACAAAAATCGATACCAATGCCCATCTCACGTAGATGCCAAACACATGCCCCATTTCCGCCACTCTTAGGTAAGTACCTCCTTACCTGTGTGTGGCGAAGCATCACATGCCAACAACCACCCATCACGCTAACTAAGGTGAGCTAAGAAGCTAAGAATATAACCCAAAACAAGCCAGAACGAAAATAACAACCAGCACAGAGAAAAAAGACGAGGTGGCCGAGTGGTCAAAGGCGCCGGGTTGTTACAGTAATGTTTACTAGGGGTTTAAAAGGCACAGCGCCTAGGACTCCCCCGAGGGATTCCCCCCAGGGAGTCCCCCCCAAGGAAGTAACCCCCGGTCCCAGCAATGGGTGCGCGAGTTCGAATCTCGCCCTTGTCATTATATTTTTTTTCGGACATCAAAGATTCCTGGGATATTCTGCTCTCTTTTTTTCCTTGTTTGCTGTTTTTACGGTGTGATCATGATCGTGTATGTGGATGGCATGGGTTGCCCCTTTCGCACTTGAGTCTTCCCATGTACCTAATATGCAACAATCTCCTCTGAACCATCAATGTCCACGCAAACGCCTTGAACACCACACTACTCATCACCAAAGAAAACCTCAGCTCGCCTCAATCCTCCTACAATAATCCCTGCCCCTCTCCACCTGCCACTCACACAGCCAAACCTCCATCACCATGCCCACAAACCCAGCGACACAGATCCCGCCGCTGTCGCTGACCGACGTCGCCCCCAAGCTGAACTCGCGATCCTCAACCGGAACGTGCTCCATAATCTCGGCAAAGGTATTGACATACACGGCGCCGCCCAGGAGCCCCTCCCAAAAGATAATCCCAAATACGAGATACACCGACGGAATGAAATTAAGCAGCGCGTGCATCGTTAGCAGCACCAAATTGCCCACCTGCAGCAGCGAGGGCAGATATAAATGGTGAATCCGAATAAACGGCGACGACGAGCGGGATACAAACACACCCAGCTGATAGAGAAATCCGTAAAACGGATAGAAAGACCGGAACTCGGAAAAGGGCGACTGCTCGAGCGGAAACAGTAATGTCGGAGCTACTCCCTGGTTGATAGTATACTCGGCGATATACACCAACAGCAGCGGCAGCATATACGGGAAAAACAACGACCTCGCCCGCCGCAGGTTAGCGAGGAACGACCCCTTCCCCTCCCCCGTGGCGGCGGCGGCGACATGGTGCGAGTACGCAGTCGAAGCCACACCCGGACCAGGCGCAAGCAGACTCGCCGCCGCCGCATCGGTCGAGACATCCGCAAAATCGTCGTTGCCGCCGCCATTCTCCTCGGCGTCCGTCTCAGGCAGCGGCTCATACTCCTTCCTCCCGCGCCGCCGGAGCGGGCCGCGCGGCAGTATGACAAAAAAGCTAACCAGCATGACGACCGGCAGACAGGCCGAGACCAACAAGCTAGCCTTGACAGACAACCCGATCCAGTCCGTCATCAGCACGTACAGCCCGGCCCCGACGAGCCCCGCGCCGCCGGTGCCGCTGCCCCAGGCCGCGAGGCTCATGTGGCCGTAGTAGTGCGTCAGCCCGAGAAAGCTCAGCTCGCCGCCGCCGCTGCTCAGACTGGCGAGCACGACGCCGACCAGCTTCACCGAGACGGACTGCGACGCGGGCGTGAGCGCGACGAGGCCCATGCCCGCTGAGGACAATGCGACGAACGCGAGGATGCGCGTGCCGTAGGGGATGCGATGAATAAAATACGGCGCGACGAGCTTGGTCAGGAACGAGGGCATCACGTCGGCAAGAAGAACAACGCCCTTGGGCACGTTGCCGACGAGGTCCTGCGCCGCCGAGAGGATGATGACGTAGATTACATTGTTGATGAGGCCGAAGAGCCAGAAGGCTATGAGCACTGCTGTGTCGGCGCCGTGGAAGAGGGAGGCGAGGCGGGCGCGGAATATCGCCCAGGATGACGACGGTGAGCCGGGGAGTGGTAGAAGGCCGGAGGAGGACGGTGAGCGGTTCATGGTCGCATGTTGCAGATGCCGCCGAGGCGTCACCCATACACAGTAAGTTTGTTGAACTAAAGATAGTTCGTTGGAGTTGTTTCGGAAGTTGTCGAGGATGACGTGGATCGGGAAGTTGCGGCAGGCAGCCAGCAGGCACCCCACATGGCCCCTGCAGCGTCTCCCGTGCAGGGGTCACCGGGACACTCCGACACTCTTGGCAGATTGACAGGGATGCGTTAGGCAGATCCGAACCCTAACCCGGATTCTTAAATTGATCGCCGCATAAACAGCACAATTACCCAGGTATCTACAACGCCAAATACTGTCTAGAGCCAGACTATGAAAGACCGTGGTCGCCGAAGGCGAGAGTAGCATATTTCAGGAGCCAAGTTTCTGAACCCTCATGCTCCGACCTTCCCGGATCAGATCGGCCGCCAACCGCCCAATATCGCCGACAGCGCGCGACCCCACCGTGAACGGCGTGGAAAACAGACGATCCCGACACCCAACCCCTGGCGAAACATTCTCTTTGTCCACACACGGCGCCGCCATGTTGATATATCCCTCTCCAAACGCCATAGCACCAAGCCCATTTGCGTCTCGCAACCCAGCGTCGCGAAGCTGCAAATCAGCCATAAGAGTGAGGATATACTCGGGCATGTCAAAAAGGAAGCCTTCTCTCGACAGACCCGTCTCTTCTTCTACCATCTCATGCGCCTCCCCGGCGGTGTTTTCCCGCGCCCGTATTTTTGTCCCCCGCGGTCGTGGTATCCCTTTCGCAGCTTTCTCCGCCTCCGCCGTAAGCCTCTCAAAGAAGTAGGCAAGGAACTCGCCATCGGGAATCGGTTCCTCGGCCGGCGGGAAAGAGACCGAAGAACCGGCCTCAGGTTGACCTCCGCTAATCCACGTGGCCATGTTATTGTACAAGTTCCGGTTCCACTGGCCCGTCAGCAAGAATGAGTTGCGCATCTGCTCTGCCGGTGAGTGGACTGCCGCCAGATGTGGACGCGATGTTTGCCATGCTGGTGTGATGGATGGATCCAAAACGCGTGGGACGAGGATGCGGAATATCCCGGCCTTGTTAGTTTCCAAACTGTGTCGGTATAGACGCTCGGCTTGGTCAAAGATGTCTTGCGTCATGTTGTCGATCACCGGCCGGGAGATGTCCAAGGGCAGGCTGGCCAGAGTCCAGATGTCCCATGTGCCGAGGGCGAATATAAACAATGTCTCCTTCGGGCTACTCTGTGATTCCTCGGAGGCCAGGAAGCTGGTGACCTGTTGCGCCAGATCGGGAACTCGTCGGTTCAGCGGAAACAGGTCGGATTGGAATGTGTAATCCTCGCCCGGCCCGGTACGGTTCGCTGTCAGGTTGGCGATTTGATCGAGGGCCTCTGCGTAAAACTTGTGTGATTCTAACGTGAGGGTCTCGTGACCACGCGGAACGAAGGACATGTACGGGGAGCAGTTGAGCTAGTATTGTTAGTCGTGCACTGGTTCAGGGGTTTTGGCCGGCCCACATCGCGGCATAATATGTCTGTCCAGCTATCACCCCCTTCGCCTGTCCATGAGGGCGTCGCAACGTCTTGTCCCCCAAATGCGACAATCCTCAAGTTCCCACCCGGATCGAGGCCCTGTTCCAAATCCGTCTCATATTCGGCCGACCCCGGGTCTGTGTCAGTCCCGTATCCTGTTAAAGGCCAAATAACTCGGGTTATACCAAACGGCACGGGTGAAATCTCGTACAGAGCGAGTCGACCGAGAATCGAGATAGACAGGCAAGCTGCGAGATAGAAGATAATTTTTGGTCCGCCGCGAAGAACACGCTTCGAGAAGAATGACAACAGCATGTGTCGAAAGGGGGATTTGGTGCCCATCCGCCGGCTTGCTTCTCTGATCGTGTGATATGTCTGGGACAACGAAAAAACTTAAAACGAGTGAATATGCCCAGTCCGTTGAACGATTCATGGCCTAAGACGAGGTCAGCTCATAAACAAGAAGAGGCTTTGCCCCGAGACGGACGGGGCATCCGGATCCCGTTGCCGTGTGGCCGTGTTATGGACTCCACTGCCGATGATGCACTCAGCAACGGCAACAAGACGTAAACCTCAAGTCATCACGCCCGCGCGCCCGTCCAAATCCGGTGTGGCGCATGCAATTCCAGGGGCGGTGATCTCGGAAGTCTACCGATAAGGTCAGGGGCGGTGTCATGGAGTCGTCCCTTCTACACCTTTGCCGGGACGCGCCGTCAGGGGTTCCTGACATGCCCGACCTGTGTCTGCTAGCTATCTTTATACTGGCACCGCATGCCTTGGGGTAGATTTATCGCAAGGTTGAAAAGCAATTGACGGTCCGACGCATGCATATCAGCGCAATATGTTGCTTGGGGAAGCTGCATCATAGTCGGGGTCGGATCAGGAGTGTGCATGCTCTCCGACTGGACACGCGTCTTGCCATGTCAAGGGACATGTTGTAAATAATTGAGTGGTGTATGCTATTAGCAATCGACTAGAACTCCGCCCTGAATTGTGAGGTGAGATGAAGATAAAAGGATGTAGAAACAGGGTAGGCTAGACATAACGAGGAGAGACCGTTACCGAACCACCTTGACACGACGACAACAACTACCCCCGGGCATCTTTGTGCTCAGTGCTCCATGCATATTGTATGGTCCGAATTCCAGGTCAAGTAAAAGTCTCCAGCGCCCAGCCTAGAATCCCCAAGCCCAGTGCAACCGAAAAGCCCTTCCCCTGAGGAAAGCCAGTGCCGAACTCCGGATCCGTGCCCAAGGCGCCTGGATACTGGATCGCTGCCAGTCCCCCAAGCCAGTAGACGCTCCCAGTGAAAACAGCGGCATGCAGCGACTGACGGGCTACTGCGGCCTGAGTAGCACTCAGCGAGCTGGACGTAGACTTGGTCTGGGCCAGCACCGGCTGCCAGGTGTAGAACAGTGTTGCCAGGCCGAGGAGAACCGATATGGTTATGGTTTGGCCGCAGTGGAACCTGTTTTGCCATTTGACGCTCGCGTTAGTTGACACTTGTCAGCGGTGGAAAACATCGGGAGCGCTTCACTTTGCATGCGGCGGCCAGCGCGGATTGAAGATGTGGGTGTGGTTGTAGTCGGCTAGCGGCGCCCCAAGGAGGAGCAAGAGCGAGTCGATCGTGAGGAGGATTCTGCCCAGCATGGTTCAGGTTCAAGAGCAGATATCGTCAAGATTGTTTAGATGTTTGCTGTTCCGGTTACCGACGATTCCGTAGGACAAGATGGGTGAGGTCACTGCCCGAAGATATAGAAGGCAGATCGGCGATAGGCCGGGCCCGCCGGGGTCTGATCCCCCAGCCCCGCGTGTGGTTCCAGGTTTCACTCAGGTTGTCAGCCCGCCTGTTTCCTTTCCTGGAAATG